ATTCCCCCCTTTATACTCTGTCAGCGACGACTAATCCCCCTTCGTACTTACATACATACATACTTTATTGAAGTGTCAAGGTATTTAGCTAAAAGCTAATTGAGGACACTATAAATGAATAACGTGAGTGTAATATAAGATTAAATAGAGTATACGTAAAAATATTAAATATCGTTCCCCCTGATAAGCATGTGGTCCCCCTGAAACCCCCCCCCCCCTTCTTCCTAGTCAATTTATAAAGAAGGGTCCCAAAGACACGGTTCGTTTTAGCAAAGGGTTTTAATTGGTTGAGAAGGTGAGGTGAGCTTGTAGACGAAACATGAAAGCCTTCCGAAATTCCAGTTGAAAACCGCTCTAAAAGCTTCAATTTTTTAATGCAGTCGGTGTGAGGTTAGTTTGCCTCTTAAGTGACGTGGCTTGGGTTTGAGACTGAATTACTTGGTTCAGATCTCAGAACATCAGCCCTGAACATACTGATTTTATAAAACCTTGTCCTTTACGTGATCTTTGTTCATTTATCTTTTAAGAATGCAAATTAGTCACACACAGGGATTGTCATTACCAGACTACCACAATGTGTTCCAGTGATGCTGTCAAACATCTTGACATGTAAGTTTATGACAAAAATATCAAAAGAAATTCATCGCCATGTTATAATTTGTGGTTGTTTTCTCTTCGTTACGCGTGTTGCCACGCAATATTCAAGAGTTTTGACACAATGTCAGGAGACATGTCGGTGTTCTTAAGCAAATCCACTTCTATGACTAAAATTTCTTCGCATGAATGGAACTAAACAGTAAAATAAACCCATACTAAACATTAAACAACCGATCAATAATTTGGCGAATTCAAAATTGTTTTAGTGTCAATCCGCACATTGAATCATTTTTAAGTCTCTTGCAGCGCAGTGAAACAAAAAAATTATTTAAAGTTCACTAAAGATGACCAATATTAAAAACGAATGAATAATTGTATGTTTAACAAATAAATAAAGACAAGATTTTAGTAACATCCTGTGGAACAAAGCCGTAAAGATGAAAGGGAGCCTACTCACGAAATTCAGTGGTTAAGGAGATTTGCATACATAAATTAAGGAAAACTCTATTTGATCAATTTAATTCTTCGTAGTCGACACATTCAAACAGCTAACTATTTAGTACTTTGAACACTTTCTTCCCCTCCCCTCTCCCCAATCCACTTTTGCACTTGCTCCCTCCCCATTCTCTCTAGAGTGAATTAGTTTAAATGAATTCGTCTTTGAAATCTTAAACAACGCTACTCAGTTCCAGAGACCGCAGTGAGCGCACGACCAACACGTGACTAACTGGTGACAAAAGAAAAAGGTATCACGTGACTGACATGACTCATTACCAAGCTTTTCACACTGATGCGCGTCTTAAAACTGAACTAAACGCTTTCAACTTACGTGAGCTAATTTCTCTTCTGCTCTTCTATAATCCAGTAAAAAAATGCCGCAATTTGTTGGCCATTAATGAGGTGAAGGGATAAGGCTGAGTAGAGAGGTAGGGCTGACATACAAGTTTTGATTAAAAAAAAAAAAAAAAACTAACCACTTTTAACCCTTTTCTAAGCATTTGCGTAAAGTAATATAAAATTAACATGTCGTTTCTCAGCTCAGAAAGTTTTGCCTTTCAGTGGTTGTCAATAAAAAGGTAACCAACAATTTTTTTTTAAGTTTGTATGTTACTTGGTATTTATTCGCAACAGAAATTCATCAAAGTTATTTTCTCTAGAGCAGAAATCAAATCAAATAGAAGGGTGGAATTTTTTTTTGCCTAATACGACCTAAATGATTGGCAGAACTTTGTGTAGCTTGTAGTTACCTTAAATTCAAGTATTATTAGGACTAATGTTTTAAAATTGGAACAAAGGAATCAGTTTTTCAATGTAAAGGTACGTTTCCTCACACAAGGAAATGGTTAACCCCGCTCCTAACCTATATAAATATTGAACAACTCTATTAAATCGCAAACAATGTGAAAAACTCAATCCCATAACCAGTTTAAGATTATTTTGAGGCTCTTGCTAGCTGTATTTGTTGGCATAAGTTTTGAAAAACTCGTGTGAATTGAAGGAAATTTGAATTTTACATTTTATTGCTTTCCCGCTCTATGATGAAATGAGACGTTCAGCTTGAAATAAAGTATTAATAAAGTATTAAGAAGCCATCGATGGACCGGAAGAATTTTCCGGATTAGGAAAAAGGTTTTGATCATAAAAGATGAAAAATGTCCACTCACTTTCCAGCAATAGTTTTGCAGTAACTTTTGGTCAGTAACATGTCAATTAGTTCGCGCAGGTAACAACGGTCTCAGCTCTAACTAAGGGGTTAAAACTAAATCCCTAAAACTAATAAACCCTAAGCGCACGCTTAGACTACGAATAAACCCTGCTTTTCGGCGAAGTCCGTCGCGTGCGTCGGAAAAAAATCAGTGAAAGAAATTTGATGTTTGCGCGCCGCGTGGAACTATGGAGGGAGGCGCCCGAAAAGTAGTTATCAAGCGCCTCACTCCCACACTTCCACGCGGCGTGCTAACATAATCTCTTTTCACTGATTTTTTTATATGCGCGCGTCCGTCTTCGCCAAAAAGCGGGAACTGCTCTAGCGTACTGTTTCTTAAACTTAATAATCCTCTCAGCTTCTGAGCGACAAACTACCTAGTACTGCTAATTTTACTTGTTTGTTTTACTCAACAGAGAATATGTTGGAGGTACTGAGGTCTGACCATGAAAAACCAATTACAAATCCTGAAAAGCGCTTGCCTTTTCTATCGTTCGTATATGTTTTAGACGTCGCAAAATTATATCTAAAAATGTTCCATATCTTAGCAGATGTTATGTTGTCAAGAATGAAGAATTTGTAGATTAGAAAGTGCGCTCTCTCTCTCTCTCTCAATGTATTGTCGGGGTCAGAAGGAAGAGTCTGGGGGTACGGTGGGAGGCATTTGTAGGTTCTACCACCGAGGGGGGGGGAGTTGGGGGTGCGATAGGGTTTGAGGACGTAATATTATCAAGTTGATTATTTAGCTATAAGTTGAACAAACGAACAGCTAAAAAAGGAGATCATTGATTTATGTAGTCCACGTCCACCTCATTACGTTCGTGTTTGAGCATTCAGTCCCATTTTCCTCAACGTTTATTTCACTCGGCTGAAAAACAGGTCCTCAAGCGCTTGGGGCCACACACAGATGCCAGGCTTCAGGGATGGGGGGTGGGGTAAGGCACCTAAGAAGCTTTGCAGCAAGGGAGGGATGGGAGATAGCCTAGACATCAAATGAAATTACTTGCCTTTCTTTGCTTGAGAGTCATCGTTGATTGGGGCTCGTATTTGCAATGAAGGCGGCTGATTTATTTATGACCTCAGTGGGAGAAAAATTATGTTTTGCATGTGGAGCTCAAGGTAAACAACATTGCATAGCTTACTGAGTAGAATACAATCACCGAGTTTAACTGCAAAGATGTTGTTTCAATAATTAATGGCAACTTCTGGGGATTCAAAGGAGGGATGTTTAGTAATATAAAGCCTTAAATGATGGGAACAAATGACTGAAAGGGAAGAGTGTAAAAGAATAATTTATTTGTAGATAAGCGAATTATGGCCTGTTTCTCTCATTTGGTGTGAGAGGGGAACAGAAAAATGGGCACAAACCTCCATACTGCTGTCTTACGAGGTATTCATCGCGGTAAAAATTGGATCGCAAGAACTGTACGCAGCTTCTATCATTGCAAGAAAGGATCAGCTTGTCATGGCCTATTGTCATGATATACGCCCACGCTTCGACATTCACCCATTTAGGCTAATATTCTCTCTTCTGTTGTCGAAGACAATAAGTTACGTGACGTAAAAAAGAGATTGTAAGGGTAAAAATCTGCATGTGGGTAGAGTAGTCCTGTTATTCAGCTTAAACCCTCAAAGGAAAAAATAAAATTCAATTTATTTATTTTCTCGAAAACCGCTTTCAGTTTATCGTCATGGACTAGTATTTCCAGCTGTTGTCAGTATTCTCTCACGTTCTTGTAGCCCTGTTGCCTTACGAAGAGTTGCGTGACAACTGTAACGACAAGTGCGAAGGAGATTTCACATACAATAGACCATTTTAGAAAGTTTCTGCGACAGAATCAGAAAATGGCCGAGAATGACATAAGACAAGTTTCATTAACTGTCCTGTAACATGATATCCAGTTTTGGGTTTTTAACTTTTTTTACCACCCGAGTACTGCTGTCTAAGAGGACAAGCAGCATCAAGTACAATTCCAAAATGTACAGCAACGTCGCAATGGTGCCATTGCGTTGAGTTTGTAAGTTCCTGGAGATGTTGTACACAGCCACTAGCGTGCTCTGGGCGTTGATAACCACAGTGCATAGCGCATGATACATCATTGAAGCCGTGCGGGTGTGATAACCGTTCAGTGTGACCAGAAACAACAAAAGATTTGAAATTGATATTGTATTGTGAACTGTTTGAGCGAAGCAGTGTCCTTTCATCAACAAGGGCAGCCCAGCTGCGCAAAATAAGAGTTGGAAATAGGACTTGTTTCTCAGTGTCAGGCAGCTTTCTACGATGATTGTCAAGTCTCGTGTAGGTGGTTTCCACGAACGACAGTTGACATTCCAACTCACAAGCATAAAGATGCCAGTACGTAACAAGTTCCACACACTGTATGAAAACTCTAAGAAAGCAGAATGGCAAACGGTGCTGTCATCGTATTTTGCACAACGCTGGAACCTGGGAAAAGAATGAAAATCGTCGTTCAGTGTCGAGGCATTCATGATTCAGAAAGTTCCCAAAGTAGGGGGAGGAACTTGCAAGGAAGTATGGGGCCACTTGAAAACTCCAAGTGCACTCTACAGCAAATTTCTCTCTGCGTCTGAAGTGTTCCAAGACTGCGCTAACCTCTCAACCAATCAGATGTAGTACCAGACCAGAACGCATCATGACTAAGTCACGTGTCCCCTTGCTCGCTCCTTAGTGCTCCCCGGTGATTTTTTCCTTCGCTCTGATCTGCTTTTGTATTACTTTGGGTTTCGTTTCACATGTCTCGATGTGAACTTTTTTTTGTCAGAAATGCTTTCATACATTTCGCCTTGAGGTAACGTGTTCTCAGTTGTTTACCTTATTAAAGACCCAGGATATAAATGTCCTGTTGCGAGTAGATTTGGGATTGGTTCTAATCCAGGAAGACAAATCAGTGTTGCAATAGTCGCAAGCAATGAACTAACAACCTTTCTAGGAAAAGAAGAGATAGAAAATAATGCCTATATCATCATCTTTACTTTTCTATCAGTTTAGTCAGCACTTCGTAGCTAATTTCGGAAAGTGTAGTCCCTAGGAATATTATTACCAGGAGTGCCCTCGAATGGAACCCTTAGGGTTCAAAACGAAGAGGCCGTCGAAAGCAGCCTTGAAGGCACACTGCCCAAGGTGAGCTCGACAAGAATAACATAATCTGGGGAGAGGCAGAAAGAACAGCCAAAAACAGGGTCTGGTGGAGATTTATGATGCACTATGCTCCCGACCAGGAGCATAATGCAGTTCAAATCGCAGTTGGTGAGTGGCACCCTTTGTCACAAAACCAGCACCATCGGTCCCCTGCAAAAAACAACGGATTAAAAAAAAGTTTTAACCCGATAAAGTAAAAAGCTTACACATGAATCACTTTGCAAACCAAACGAGAAGTTATTGAGAGTACGGTTGCAGCCATCCACATTGAGCACTTCATCAAAAGGCTAGAGGAGGAAACAACAAAACACTAGACATGAAAACAAGAAAGAACAAGAAGATTTGAAAAACCCAACACATATACTGATTCCTCCTTTGAACTTCCAAGTTAACCTTGTAAATTTTAGTTGACAAACTTCGACACAATGTCGAATCCGCCAAATTTCTCATAATAATTTGCGTGGTTTTGTTCAACATTTAAAAGGGAGAATTATGGATCAGATACGGTGGATTGAAGGAATCTGTTTGTTGAAATTGACAACTCGCCTTCAGTTCAGTGGTGTTAAAAAAGGGATATCACGCCTAACTCCCAATCGCTATGACTTGCCAAAACTTGACTCTTGACTCCCAAACTTGCCTTGGTCAGACCTAACCTCACACGATGCACCGATCGATTCGGAGCTTCAACATCCCTTCCCCCGGGCAACCCATGGGCATTTGACTATCGTCCATGCCCGGGGGTGAGGAATTTGAACCTTGCCTGGGTGGGGTGGGGTGGGGAGTTTGAACCGGAACTGTCAAGTAATTCCGGCGGAATACACGTGTTTTATCTTTTAATAGGGCGGTATTTAGGAGTAAAGAGTTAACTTTTGTGAGCAGATGACTTGAAAGAAAAGGCCATCAAATCCAGCACTTAGGTAGGACATGAAAACACAATTTTGGACCAGGTTTTTTTTTTTTTTTTTTGGGGGGGGGGGATTGATCGAGCCAATCTTCTAAAGTTCAAATGCTCAGTGGGTTACCCCGGGGGATGTTGAAGCTTCGAATTGATGGACTCATTAATCGTAGCATGTTAGAGTACTGACCTTGCTCCGAGTGCACCGAGTCTTAACAGATCATATAACGTGCTAAGCCAAGGTAAAGTACGTTCAAACATCTTCGCACTCGTTCTGAATACCAGACGGGGAATAGTGAATCTGAACATACAAAGAACAATTATCTCATACTCCGTTTTTTGTACCTGTGTTTCTTTTCAAAATCGCAAAAAATGGAGAGTAAGCAGCGCAAGGAAGATCTGGATTCTTACCTTATATGGTTGACGACGTAACGCAATGAATTCTCCAGGGGTTCATAAAGTAGATAGAGTACAACATAGCAAGGCAGACCTATGAAAATTACCTGGGCTGTCATAATCACCAGTGAGTAAGCTCTGTCAAATATGAAAAACAACAACTGCGATAAAAATTTCTGAAAAGGAATTCAGTGTTTGATGTTGCAATCCATTAAACAATTTCGCTTGGTGTACAAGCGTAACGTGACCGCCTGCTCGCGAAACAGCCTCGCGCTATATCTGGCGTTACTTCTTTCAGGGTTACGTGCGACCGTTTTTAATCACTATCTATTAAATGAAAAATAACTGATCGAGATACTACTAGCGCCCTGATCGGTCAAAAACCTATCGTTAATTGAAGCATACTGTGTTTTTTTAAGTTTATTTTATAATAGCAATAGAACGTATGCTAATAGCCTCTTCCCTTTTCACTGGCGCCTTTCCCACGATTGGTAGCCAATGGAATAAAAAGAGCCAAAGCCCTCGTACAATGCTAGTCTGAAATAAATTATTGTTAAGCACTAACCTCACAAAGAAGGATACATGGGAGAGAGTGCGATCGATGGCATGAATTAAACGAGAAACTGGCGGTAGAGGAACGATGTATGACAGGAAAATCTGAGCAAAGAAATAATAGCCATAACTAAAATAGCTACTCGTCACGCAATTCACTTTGTAGCTGTTTTCTTCGCGGGGGAGGTAAAGGGTTGCGTGACAAGACCTACGAAGGCTAACTTAGCTGTCACGGCGACACCAGCGAATTGAATCAATGATGAATTCTACGTCAGTTTTATATGGCCACCTTTTAAGTCTATCAGACCTGATTGGACTTAATTCAACTGAAATTCAACCGATATTTACAGCTTGCGCATTCAAGAAATTGTAAGGCAATATCATAGTTAAACCAGAGGCTTACAAAGACTTCAAAGGTCGCACACAGACACACAGAACAAACCCGCGATAAAAGTATTATATACTGTCTTGTATAAATTGTAACGGAAAGTTCTCTTCGTAAACTGAACTGAACAATTCATTCTTGAAAGAAGATTCCACAAAGACATGAAACACTCGAGAGAAATAGTGCACCACTCTGAGGTTGATTCCATTCTGGAAATTCCCTTGCCCATAACATTTTACCTCTATCATTTTGTCTTGTCTTTTACGGATCAGTTACTGAAGAGGATTGTGAGCCACGAGAAAGACAAAGTAACTACGCTCATGCAGTAATATTAAGGGGGGGGGACGCAAATTTGAATGCTATATTTGTGCAATTCGAATCCTGCTGAATATTAACAACATACATTTCCTCTTTTCGTCGGCCGAAGAAAATAATGAGTAGAGTAAAAAATTGTCGAATATCAATAACATACATTTCCTCTTTTTTCGGCAAAAGAAAATAATGAGCAGAGAACAAAAATTGGGGAAGGAGGTATTTCAAATCATAAAAAGATTCAGAGAAAGCTAGAAAAAATCTGTAGTTCTTAGCATTGCTTGCCTTAGCTGGGTGACATTCCTCGTGAGCATGTCAACCTCTTTGCCTTCATCAAGCTTTGAGCCAACAACAAGTTGGTCATCATTTGTGATACTTACCATCAGTAAACATATGTTGAGGTTTGGCACACCTTGGAAGATCGAAAATAAAACTGTGATGAAGAAAAAAAGCGTAAATCGGCAAAAGAGTAATAAAAGGACAGTGGTTAGTTTCTTCAACGCCATGGCTGTGGATCGCGTGACATGTCAAACATGGCTGGATCAAATGCGGATATTTTCAGTCGTGGCGTCACACAGTTTACGAGGCGAGAGCCGAACTCGTTGATTGACGATTGAATTATGCAAGAGAATATAATCCCATCATTTCCTCTTGATCATGCGATCGCGTTACGAGTCCTGAAGGTCTTATTCAAAAGACGAAAACCGCATACAGTAATGACTGTGGGCTTACCGTAACAAACCGGCCAACAAGGGTAGCGTGGTTTTTTCGAAACAAGTTATCTCATCCGCTGCACATACCAGAAAGTCTCAGGGGGGGACTGTGAATTTTCGAAATAAGAGTCCGTAGCTCTAGATAATTGCCCTTTCGTTATCCGACCAGGATATGGCAAAGACCTATTCAATAAAAGCTTGTTAATTGAAGGTACTTATTAAATCTTAATTGCTCATTGGCTGTCTTCATGGTATGTTGATTTGGTGAAGAAGTAGACAATCACTCTATTCCCTTGTGTTCACGAGTCGCCTTGCAATATGCAAATATATAACTTCACGTGTGCGCGACTTTTTTTTGCACAATTGTACGTTTCATTACTCGATTTGAAGCGTGAGAGAATCAAGATGTGAGTCGTTCTTGGGGTTTCAAGAGAAACTGAAGGTCAGTGATTATCTAGTAATACTCCCAGAGAGGGGGGGAGGCATTATCATTTTCGGTTTCGCAGTTTTGGCTGTTTTATCGATCGGTTTTTCGGTTTTTGAGCCAAAAACTTCGGTTTTTCTGTTTTGGTGTTCATTCTGGTTTGCGGATTTTCCAATTTGTAGCATTTGGTTTTTCAGCTTTTGTCAAAAAAACTAACAAGATTTTGGATTTGGTATCCGATGTATTTTTCCGTTTTTCAAATTTGGGTTCCGGTTTTCGCTTCGATCTGAGCGGCAATAGCCCCATTTCATAGTCCCCGGCGCCATATTGGATTAGTAACCGCGCACACTCAATAACGAGGCTGGCATTGACCCGGCGGTTCTTGTAGGCCGGCACTTAGACGCAGTAACTTGATCACGACTATTTCCCTTCATTCAGATTTTGTGATAAGATGTTTGCACAAATTGAGATAGCGTTGAAGTATGAAGTATGTTCGCCTCCCGTTTCAAAATTCCCTTCCCCCTTTTCCCCTCCAAAAAAAAAAAGAAAAAAACTGAATAGAAAAGAAACTCAACAACTCACTATGTGGATAAATGTTTAATTCCTAAATTGATTCACGTCTGAGGTTTTTATCATATTCCAGACAAGGCACTATACGCGTATACGATGAATGTCGAGAAGGTTTAGCGGGAAACTCAAACTTCATGTACGCCTCTCGATGTTCGTGGGTCACATTAAAGCATCTCAACAAATTGGGAAGAGAAAATACAAAATAAGGATAGAGGTGACACTTGAGGTTATTCTTTGAGGCCATGAGTTGGATTTCTACATTCACTTCAACACTGCCTTACCGTCACGGTAATTGTTCCCCAGAGACTTTCTCAGGTGGATGATCGGGCTCGTGGTTCACCAAAAACTTTTCCTTGAGAATCCCCTCCATTGCTCTCAAGTTGGAGAGATTTTTTGGGCGGCCGTTCAAGAAGGTTCCCACCACTTTTATGTTCTCTAATTCCATTGGATCCACTTTGTAGGGGTTTTCAGACAATATGAGCAGATCTGCTTTCTTGTTGACCTCTAAGCTACCTAAGTCTTCATCTCTGTGGATTTGCCAGGCAGCGTTTATGGTGTAAGCCTTTAAGGCTTCGTGAATAGAAACACAGTATTCCGGGCCATACACAGTTTCCTTGTCATCCCTCTGGGTCCGAGTAACAGCTGTCTTCAAGTTTGCGAATGGTAAAGGAGGACCTGGGAAGGTGCACTGGTCTTGGTGAATAGTCCAACGGAGGCCATGTTTTGTAGCCTCTGACAGTGGTGTCCAGCGGTTTGTGCGTTCTTTTCCGAAAATATAATCTGTATACCTCTTGGCGTAGAAATACAGATGGCACACAAAGAAGGACAAGGCAAGGTTGAGTTTACAAGCTCGTGCAATAGCATCCACGTTGGCAAGCCCTAGATGTTTAATGCGGTGTCGCATGTCTTTGGGATCCTTAAACTTGCTAAGGGTCTGTTGTAAACATAACAGTAGGTATTTTTGAAAGTCACGTAACATTCCCTTGCAAAGGATCACGGGAAATCTCTCTTTCTCAGTGTAATGTGTAACACAAAGCAGATAAAATCAGCTAAAATTATTCTGAGCTTCTGAATTTTTTTTTTCGCCGATTTCTGATGATTCAGTTTACCTTGTAGGAGACGCAATGGTCTATCGGCTAGCGCGCTTGATTCTGGGGAGAGAGGTCCGGGTTCTTAAACAAGACACTTTACTCTCACCCAATGCCTCTCTTCATCTCAGGAGTAGAAATGGATACGAACGAGCTGTCTGGAAAATCTGATAAAATACTGGGGAAGAGGGGGGGGGGGCATAATCTGCGACGGACAGGTGTCCTATCTATATTTATTAAAAACTGGATCATTGGATAATGCAATTCAAGACTTTTTATTGGCTTAGCCATTATGCTATATGAGCCAATATACCATAATCTACAAATATGGTAAGCGTATGCGTCAGCTTAAAATTAAAAGGGAGCTAAAAAATTTCTTCTTACAAAATAAAGTCGAGAAGATTTGTCTAATATCCTGAGGGCGTTATTAATAAAACAATTATTCCACTCGCGCTTGTTGGATATGAGATGATTATAGCCAACTCGGCGCTACGCGCCTCGTTTTAATCTAGTGCATGTCTCCTTTAAATATTTTTTTATTCTTCTTTATGTTATAATTATGTTAAATATATATATATAGAAAGTTTGAAAATTGCGAGGATGGACAACTTCTGACGTCAAAATTATAAAAAATTTTAATAAAAAACGTTTCGGTCCGAGACCTCCTTCAGTTATTTACAACTTTTGAAATAAAAAAAGAGAGCATTAAATAAGATCGAAGTGATAATGATTACGTAATTACAGATAACGACTAATTACGGTGGCCCAGAAGGCTCAACGTAAACCAAAAATATACTGCAGCAAATAAAAAAAAACAAAACGCAAAGAAAAAAAAATACCGCAGCAAATAAAAAATGCAACGCAAACAAAAAGTACTACAGCAAATAAAATATGCAACGCAAGCAAAAAAAAAAAAAAAGAAAACGCAAACATAAAAAATTGGAACGCAACGCCAAGGAAGACTGAGTAGAAAGGCGAACAAGCAAAGGATGGAACGAGTGTTGGCGGGAAACTAAGGAAAAATTGAAATTTATGATAGACTAAAATTTCAGGAGTAAAGCGTTACCCAAACTGATTTCTTAAAATTCACGCTTTTATTCAAAGAACGTGCAAAAAGAACCAAAGCACACCTTGTATTGTGACATAAATGCTCACGATTGACTTAAGTTTTTAATCCATATTCATGAGAAATTTAGACTTTGCTTCATTTCAAACTGATAGTGGCCACGTAAAGATATCAAGCCCTCCAAAGACTCTCCGCGAAGAGGAAAAAGATGCAAAGTTACTTTATAGAGCTTCAAGTCATTAAACTAAAGGTGAGCATTTACCTGTACATAACTTTTGCCAAAATTTTACGAGAGAAATTAGAATTAGGGTAGGAGTGGAAAGTTTGCCAGGTGCGTTAGGTTTTCGCTTCAAGTCGCGTCTTCGCTCGACGTTTCATAAAGCAACAAGACTCGGGCAAACATGCCTCTATGAAAGTATTTTGAATTTAATTTTTTATTACCCGCCACCAGCAACAATCACGTAAAATATTTTCAGTACAGTACTAGCACGAGTTAAGTTACATAAACCGCTCAAAATTCAAAGAAGGAAAGCCGTGCTTGTGCAAGAAAATGCGGCAGAAAAATCCAAGAATTTTTGTTTATTTGTTATAACTTTCACAGTTTACAAGTAATTCTTAAGCCTCGCGTCACATTTTACCCGTAACTGGAACTGACTTGCCATTGGACATGACCTAACGTAATAATTTTATTTTACCTCGAGTATCAACGGCTGAATGTCAACGGTTTTATTTCCTGTTTAGCTTGAGACTGTGAAGACAGCAAGAAATTTAAAGACAAGCGGAATTCACGGGCCATCATCAATGGATTCTCAAGCATTGGGGACCGTCAGGAAGATAAGAATTTAATCATAAAAAACGCTAAAATATTCCGATAAAATGGTGGCCTGAATATTGAGCAAATATGTGAAGTCATTCGAAGATAATGAAAAAAGAAATAATCGTTCAACAAATAGCTGATTAGGGAATACATTTTCGGACATGGCAATTGAATGACCAGTCTTATTCAATTAGGCGAGATTGGCACTTCTCTAAAATGCCTCCAGAAAAATATAGCGGGTTTAATTTCGGCTTCTAATTTACGTTGTCCACCTTTCTTTATCGGGTATGCCGTTCATAATAAATAATAGGGACTTTAAGCAGTCAGGACGGCAACGCCACGGAAGACGTCAATTAAAAATGAGTTTCTACTTCTAGTTTAAATTTCGAAAATGGCTTCATGTGTTTACCGTCTCATAGGGCGCCACGCGCCAGACCTCAAACTCAACCTAATGCATAAGAGTAGCGTTGAGTTCCAAATGTAAATTAAAATAAATTGCCGCCGCGGTTTCGCTTCGCAGATGACGCAAATTTTGGTGATTTCACGTTGTTGTTTGGCAAAGGACGGCTAAGAAATGTACAAAGTTTTAAAACGCACGTGCTGGGCTATTGTCCTGCTAATTAGATCCATTGTTTTTTCACTTTCTCGTTGCCGTAGCCGTCGTGGTTTGCTTAAAGTCCCTAATAAGTGGCACTGCAATCTCAGGTCTTTGTGAGCGAGAAAGATGTATTGGCGACTTAGTAAATCATAATTGGCAACTATTTTGTCATACTTTACGAGTAATTCCTTGATCAAACATTAGATGAGGATAAAGTTCTTCTTTTCTTGCTCTCAAGACCCGTACAGTGCCACCTCAGTTAACTAAATTCAATGTTTATTTGATTAAAGTAATTTAGTTCTCAGAAAACAATTGCTGATTCAATTTGTGCTATTCGGGATTTTGGGCTTATTAGTAGCTATGCCAACAGATGCCAATGCAAAAGCGCCATTTAATTTGACTTTTCGGTGTTACATTTATGACGGTGAAGTACCCCGGCACAAAACTACGCCTTTTAAAGGAAGTGATAAATATTTTGGTGCATTCTTAAAAAAAGATATTGATACAGAGACGAAAAATGACTGCAAGAGAACAATATCGGCAAAGAAGGTTCATCAAAAATTAAAAAAAAAAA